AAAGCACACGGGGGGGTGGGGGAGATGTGGGCACTGTACTTTATCCCTCACAGACCTGCAATTCCCAGCACCCTTAACAGACTACAGTTCCCAGGATTCGTTTCAATCGGGTACTTTAAATGTGCTCTAAATGTATGGTGTGTACGCAGCAAGAGTCCACAGGGAAAGAGGACTGCTGAACTGAAGACCCATTGGAATGGATGGGGGCTTAGTAAGAATTCTCCAGACCGTGTAGCTTTCATCCATTTCAATGGAACTTGTGTAAGTAGAACTCAGGTCTTGCAGTGGACACTCTCCTAGGGCTGAATTGTGCATCTCAACTTGAATTTAACTTACACACACACACACACACACACACACACACACACACTCATAGTGATTGCCCGTGGGATAATCTTGAGCCTCTGCCCCTCCTAGCTGTGTCATGGCAAAAATTCAGACTTTTCCCAAGTTTATTTGAAGGATTGTGTTGTTATTTTTCAGAAAGACGGTAGAAAATTTCTAAATTTGACTGTAAAAACAGATTGTTTTATCAGTCTGGTTTTAAACGTCATCATGATCATCATGATCTCCGATTCCTTCTCATCCTTTTCAGGATAAGTGCTACTCGGGTCCGTTTGTAAGGAATGCTTTTTCCTGGATCTACAGAACTTCATGCAAATTAGACCCAGTTTAAACACACTCACGCCCACACGACCGTCTCACAACAAGTACGGGAAACTTGTTCAGTTTGATTCCCCAATTTTCTCTACTAGAAGGGAGCTCAATTTGCTGTTCGCGATAATAATTTGGAGACCGATAGCACCTTTACAGACCTGGTTTAAAAAATACTACTTTTGAAACTATTTTTTAAAAACTGTTTCTTAACTTCTGTCCCAAAACTGGTTTCGCTGGGCGAAGCTTCCTGCAGAGAACGCCGCACTTCCAAATAAATTACCGGTATAATGCGATCTTCATTCCAAGTGTCTTGGCGCTCAGACTTCCTATTTCGCTTTTCTCTGTCCAAACCCCTGGAATTGCTCCTCGAGGTAATGCATTTTACTTGGAATAAACCCCACTGAATTTAGTAGGACGCACTTCTGCTGAGAGGTGCATAGGATTGCCTCGTCGTGTGGCACTTTAGAGACTAATAGCTTTCCTTCGATTTTTTAAAAGTATACACTGAGATGCTCCCGGAAAAAACCAACACAAATCTTCTGGGAGAAAGAGAGGGAAGTGGAGGTTCTGTTTCATGGTCGCATCCGATTTACAAGACTCTAGATTTTGCCTTGTAGCCCGTTCTGCTTAAAAATAATGCCGAACTCATTTTCTGCTTCTATAAACCAATTCTGCTGTGATTTCACTAACACTTACTGTACTTCGAAGTATAGTCGTTTAGGAGCAAGCGAGGTTAGGCGTTTTGCACTTTCAATCCTAAATCTCTGGCTTTGCGTTAAGAAACCCCATTGATTTCAGAGGAGGGGAGCCGTTCCACCCCCAAAAAATGAGGTTCTTACAGAGACTTGCAGCCCAATCCGTTTTACTTGCAAATTCTGTTACTTTCAGCGGAATTCTGTTCGGAGGGAGCTGAGCTTTGGAGCGACACTGAAAATCGCTTTCAAAATCCAAGTCGTTCTGTTCAACTCTGCAAAGCTATTTAAGGAATCGAGTTTCCGACATCCCCAGATCCCGACTGTATTTCCCAGGGCACTAAAAGCAACTGATTTCACTGGGGCTTTCAGACTGATTTCAGCAGAATTTACTACCAAATTAATGCATGGGGGATTAGGCTTTCTATTTAAGATCTCGATTTCTCCATTTAAAAATAAATGTCGGATCTAATGAAAGGAAATCCTGACACCATACTGTTGCTTCTCCTATCTCTTCTCCTCTTCTGTTGTCGTACGCGTTTTGATTTCATGTGTACTTCTTTGGAAAGAATCAGATTTCGCTTTCAATATTATCTGACTCGTTAGTTGATGGCGATGATGATGATTAATAGTAGCAGCAATAATATTTTGCCTTGTATCTATTCTACAGATCCTTTTCTCTTTCTCTCCAGCTAAAGATGGCTTTGGCGAACGTCTCACCGCAAACCATAGGAGGCAGTTAGTCGGGGCTCTCTTAAGTCCCATTGCTTTCAATGGAGCTCAGCCGCGACTCACTTCAGCTGGGTTTGAGCCAAGAGCGCGTTCCCATGCGCTGCTGCGTCAAAAGCGCAGCCCAAAGCGAACGGGTTTTATTGGGACAGTCCAAAGCCCTCTGCTGCTACAAATCTGCGCGGCTGCGGTAATCGCGCTGCTTCCTTTCCCCCACCCCAGCCCACCGCCACATACACCCCAAGTTGCCCCGACTTGCCTTTTCTCTCTGACGATTCCCCACTGCCCGTCCAAGAAGCGGTTTTTAAGGAAGACTCGCACGCATTGTGCTGATTTGCTTTTTATTAAGTCATGAGAGGGTGAGCGAGAGGGGAATCAAAGGAGGAGGGAGAGGGGGGGCGGAGAGGCCCCGAAAAAATGAGGAAAGAATTAAGCAGGTAATAAAGAGAATAAGGAAGGGAAAGCCGCCGAAAGCTTTCTTGGATCGGAAACCTGCCCAAAGTCTCTGCCCAGGGAGGACTTGAGGGGTTGTTTTGAAATCGAGGCAGCACAACGGTTTGGAGCTTCTTCTGGAGCGGTGCAGCTCGGTGTGTTTCTCTAACATAGAAGAAGAAGGCCCAGGTCTCTTCTCAGGAGCGTGTGTGTGTGTGTGTGTGTGTGTGTGTGAAGGATCCTTGCTAATATATTATTAAATCCGGTTATAGATTATATACGGATTTCCCCCTGAATAATAAGCGCTGCCCATACACCAGCACGTTAACACAGAAGGGTTTAGGAATGACCTCTGGCTGGATCAGGCCAAACCGTCCGTCTCCAAAACGGTCGCCCTGCTACGCTTTCAAGGTTGGTTTCACATGAGTCCACTCCGCCAAACAGGTGCCTATTCCTGGGCCCACGAAGCCAGTTGGATCAGCTGAGCTATGTCGCCCTGGCTAGGTGGTGGATCAGGCTGCAAATCGGTTTAGGCACCAGCAGTCCGCTTTCGGAACGGACGTTTGAACCCTCTCTAAGTAGCTATTTGGAGAGGTAGGTTAGGTCTGATACAGGACGCCGCCACATTCCGGCTACACCGAAGTCCCTGAGCTGAAATAGTGTGTTCATATTTTCAGGCGTGTGGTTAGGGGTTTTTTTTTGGTTGCGTTTGCGTTTCGTTTGATTTTATATCTCCGCGTCTCCTTTTGCCCTTAAATTGCTTTCTTATTGTATTTATTGTAAGCCGCCCAGAGAGCTTTTTATGTTGCGGGGCGGCGTAACGGCAAACAAAAGTAATTAATTAATTGTCCCCCTACAAACTAATAAACAGAAATACAATGTCAATTCGCTTTGCCTTTGTCTTGCGCAGATCGAGTTGCCCATCTTTCTCAAGGAGCAGCATTTCCCCATCGCAGCACAATGCCATGGGAATTTATAAATGGCAAATGTTACTTCTAGGAAAACGTCTGTTTGGACGCCCACATTCACCTCTTTCATAGGGGTGTCGTTTTCTTGACGTTGTTGTTGTTGCTGTTGTTCCCTAGTGGGGTTCCACCTTTGCAACCAAGATGGTCCCCGCAAGGAAAGGGTTAAGGATCCTTCTGACTGAGGAGCCGCGGATGCCCTTTGCCTAATATCTTTATTACTGAAAACTTCAAGGTAAAGGGAGAGAGCGCCAGCAATGGAAACCAGATGTGGCGATGGAAAAATGAGGGATTACAAAGGGAGACGGAGAAAATGGAGCGTAAAGGGGCAGCAGGAGTTAAAATGGGGAAGGAGGAGCGTCGTGAAGTCGAGCTGACTTTTGCAGGATCCGTTTCAAAGGCCTGGAACGGCGGATGCCAAGCCGTGTAAACATCTTTGGAAGCGCAATCGACCAATTCGGATCCGCGGCTGGCAAATGGAGAGCTCTCGCCCTGGTTGTGCCGAGGAGGAGAATGGCGAGGCGTGAACTGAAAGAAAACCACGAGCAGCGATTTCAGTCGTGGTGTGGTTGGTGATGATGGGAGAAAGATCATCAGCATCACCACCATATCTAGGAAATCGAACTTGCCTCCTCCTCTTTATGCGCTTTTAACAGCTACTCATTTTGTTGCAAAAACAAAGTCTTGCTCGTTCCACAGGTGAAATGCAACAGGGACAGAAATTCAACCAGTCGAGCGTTTCCAACCAGGCCCCGGAAACGGTGCCAAGAGCTGAGCCGGTTGAATTTCTACCTGTCGCGAGTGGTTTCCCAGCCCCAAAAGCCCTGCCAGGACACACACAGACACACCTGGCAACCTTCATAAAGGGAAGCCTGACAACAAGTGGAGCGACCTTTCTCTGCGGCCCAGCAAAACGACAGGCTCCTCCAGTGTCCCAATTGCTACGAAAGAGAAAAGCGCCGGGGAGAAGGGGGTGGGCCAAGCAGAGGGTGGGGAGACTCCCCAGTGCAGTTTTTAATAAAGGAGGGCAGATCAGAAACGACTCCACAGGCCTGCAGCTGCCAGGCTAAGGCCGCGGGGAAGATGGACCAGGGCGAATCGACTGTGTCGGATCGGCATTAAATTTCCGCTCTCTCGCTCTCTGCGCGCACAGACCCTCGCATTCATCCCGCTAATCGCATTACTGTCATGTGGCTGGTGTGTTTTATTGTTTTTGCGGTTGCGATTTTTAATATATATCTCTATCTATAAATCCTAAAATAAAGCTTTTTCCTCCCTCCCCACGCCTTCTCCCGTTCAATGCAGAAAATAAAAACCCTGATCTGCGTCCTACTTTTTTTTTTCCTTCTTCCCCTTCCCCTCCGCACTTTTTCCTGTCCCTGCACATATTGATCAGGGCTGGGAAGGGGAGTTTATTTGGCTTGGTGTGGCTGGAGGCGAGGAGGGGAAAGTGGGGGGGGGGTCGAGGGAAGAGGAGGAGGAAAAGAGAGGAAGAGGGGGGCGAGAGACAAGAAAGCAGGGTTCCTTGAGGAGGGATTCCCCCCTTTGCTTCCTCTCCTCTTGGAGCCAGAGAGAGGGAGAGGAGGCGGGAGGAAAGAGACCCTCTCCCCCTCTCCGCTAGATCTTCTGGGTGTGGGGGGATCTGTTTAGCTCTCAAGAACATCTGAATCCTCTTAGTGCTCGCTCGCCCAGCTGTGTGTGTGAGAGAGGGGGGGAGTTGGAGGAAGAGAGAGAGAGAGGGTTGCTGGTGGTGGATGAGGACACTGCGGGGCCCTTTTAATTTTAGGCATGAATGCCGAGAGTTGCGTTTCGTTCTGCGACCCAGCTGCTGCCATGGATTCCTTCTACAACGCCGCCTCGCAGGGCAGCGCCGACGGCTCCTCGCCTTTTAGGGCATTCCCCGGCGGCGGAGGCAGCGACAAGTTCAGCCCCGCTTTCCTGGCCAGCAAAGGGCAAAGCTTCGGAGACAGCGGCAGCGGCAGCAGCAGCCCCAAGTGCCGGAGCCGCTACAGCCAGCCGGAATGTCCCAGCCTCGACGGCAGCGGCGGGCAGCAGCAGCAGCAGCAAGCGCCGTCGGCCGCCTCTTTTAACAAGTATCACCCGCAGCAGCAGCAGCAACAACAACAGCCTCCGCCGCCGCCTCCTCTCTACGCACAGAGAGGCTCGTGCAAAAGCCCGTCGAGCGGCAGCCTCAAGCTGCAGGACGCCAGCGGCCACAACGGAGCGCTGCAGCTCTCCTGCTACGGTGAGTTCCCCGAGTCGGGCAAGATGGGCTGTGCACGGGTCTGTAGATTTTTCTTTCCCCGCACCCTCCCCCCCCCAAAAAAACAGCCCGTCTGGACTTGCCTGGAGTTGTTATTAATTCGTTTCCGTTTTTGCAGGGCTTCTCCTTGCAAATCCGGAGTCACTCCTGCGTCGCTCTTCACCATTTCCACGCTACGTTCTCCGGGGATGTAATTCGGATTTTGGATTCTCCCCACTCTCGCACACGTTCCCTCTCTCCCCTGTGTAGTGTAGAATATTATGGACTAGATAGATACCTCTGGTCTCCAAAGTGGAAGCCTACGAAAAGGTTCAAGAGATGGGAAGGAAGGGAGACAGCCCCCTTAGGTAGAAAAATGGGTGTTTTTAAGGTATCTTTTCTCCTGGGGTCGCTTGCAGATACCTCCGTTGGCTGGGTCCACACGCTAGTTAAACCCATACATGTTAAGCCAATTGACGTTCATAGGGGTGACCGTCCATTACTGGAAGACATAGATTTCAGTTTATATTTATAACATTTATATGCATTTATAACAACTTTCTGATGCTTTGGTCCTCGTTATGCCTTCTGTCTCCTTTCCTGGCCAAGTCTTTTCTCTTTCTCTCCCATCCCCCCCCCCATATGACCAAATTCATAATGATGACTTAGGTCAGTGCTACCGACGCTCAGGTTTCCCAAAATCAGATGTCGTTCGAAAGCAACTAGGTAAAGCTTTCCGTCCGCGAAGTCTGGGTTGGCGGCGGCGGCGCGCAGCTTTTCATTAGCGTCAATTAAATCATCTCCTCCTCGACTTGGCTTAATGAGTCGCCTTAACCCGGATTCGTTCTCGTTACAAGTTTAACGACGCGGTTAAAATGGCAGGCAAATGTTTGCTTTAGACGGTTATTCTGGGAGGATTAATTAGAGATAAGGGGTAGTGAAAATTGAAAAATAGAATTATAGAATTATCTCTCTGGGTCTTTTTTTCTCCCCTGTCGCTCCTCCTTGCAAACCCGCTCGATTCAAGGCACCTGAGAGCTCACCTTCTGCGCAATCCTAAACCCGTTTACGTCCTATTAAAAACAAAACAAAAACCCAGTGATTTCAACTGGTCCTAAAAAGCGGCGATCCTAAGTTTACACGTCGAACTTCTCATCTCCGACAAAACTTTCACCAAAGACTCAAACGGGGCAGAGGAATCAGCAATGTAATTCCAAGCGAGTGGAAACAGTTCAGTCAAAATTGGTCATTTTTTTACTTCTTGTTAAATCTATTGCATTAAGTTGATCCATTTTGGCTGGATCGTGACCAATAACGGAGAAGGAAACACTCAGGGAAGGAAAGACTGTCCGACTTGAGCCTATTTCAGTACTCCGAAAAGGGTTACTTCTAGTGTCTGTCTTTGTTACTCTTCTGTCTCCCCCTCCAAGAGCCCTCTTTGTCCCCACTGACTCTGAGTCAGAGATACAGAGAGGTGATGGAGGATAAGTGGCTCAAGGTCACCGAGTGAGCTTCACGGAGGAGCGGGGATTTGAACCCAGAACTTCTTGATCAAAGTTCAGCACTCTGTCCACTACACTCCCGTCACGCTCCTTTCGATCTCCTTGTCTTTACGACTCGATTTGTCCGTTCCAGTTGCTTTTTCCTAGTCAGGTTTACCTTCGGAGGACTCCCCCCACCCCCCACTTCACTCACTTTCTCGTTTCCAAATTCAGAGGACGTCGAAGGCACCTTCCATTTCTCCCCCCCCCAACGGGTTCGGAAGTCTGAGAGTGTTTTCTGACTAGAGGGAAAACCAGAGGGCCTGGGGTTACGTTAACAAGCCATCCATCACCGCAGCAGCAAAGAGAGGTCCCGATTTCTTCCAGCGCTTGCTGGCCTCCTATCCTCCCTCCATTAGACTCTTTAAACTGGCTGGTTACCTAACAAAGTAGAAGTGGGGCCGGAATTCCCCTCTTCTCGTTCGCCCCGTCGGGCTCCCTGCTGCTGAAAGGAACCGTGTATGCAGTCTAAGCGTTCAGCAGTTTGAGGTTAGGGGAATTCTGACACTCTGGGCTGCTAAGCCGGTTAGTAATAAGGAAGGTAGGAAACCCAGCGTGAAAGGGCCTGTTTTTAAAAAACAAAACAGTTCTTTCTGCTATAGGTCTGGGAACACTCCAGCTAGGGCATTTTGGAAGGGTAGGAATTGAATTCCCTTTTAAAGAAATGCACTCCGTGTGTCTGTGTGTGTGTGTGTGTGTGTGTGTGTGTGGTAACAGTGTAATCCAATGCATGCCTGCTCAGAAATACATCCCATTAAGTTCAACAAGGCTGACTTCCAGGTAAATGGCGACAAGTTTGCATCCCAAACGAGCTTTCTCCCTGCGCACCCCACCTTGACAAAATCTTGGGGGGGGGACAGCAGTCCTCACCCAGGGACCATTGCCTGTTGACCGTCTCTGTTGATTTCCAGGGAAATCAAAATACTGTACTACTGAATTAAATTATGAATCTGGACATTGGGAGGGGGGATACAGAGCCCAGAGACCACCCTCCGTCCCAGAAAGTCTCAAGAATTAATTTTATAGCAGGATGTCGCCTTCGCTTTTACTACATAGGGCAAATTTAGTGGTGAGCGGGTTTCCTCTGCGAGGGAGCGCTCAGCTCCTCTAGAAACAGAAAAGGCAGCTGTCGAAACATCTTGCGGCAGAGGAGATCGGAAGGAGGCAAGCCACACCACAAGTCCCTGGTGCCACTAGGAGGGAGAGAAGAAATAACAGATCTCGGTTCCATCCTGCCTTTTAAAAAACTGTTTACACTGCCTTTCCGAAAAGCGAAGTGACTCCGAATTGGGCTGCGAAGCAAAGAAGCTCCAGGGAGGCGGTGCATGAGGAGAGAGAGAAAAAGAGAAGGCAGATTTACTGCCCGAGAAGGCCAAGGGCGGCCGAAGTCTCTCGAGAGGCTCGTCTGCTAGGCGATTTCTTCAAAGGCTGCTTCGCATTCCAGGCGCAGCCGCATTTCCACGGCCTGGGACTTCGAATGGAATCCCCGCCGGCGCGCCGAGGGAGAATCCGCGGCAGCCGCTCCGCTCGTAGAGGTGGAGCGCAAGCCATCCTGTCCTGGGTCTGCCAGCGCCAATAAGCGCCTGCTCACCGGCCCCGTAAGAAGTCACTGGCGTCAGCTTTTCAGCGCCCCCCTTCCACACCCAGAGAATTTCAAGATGATAAACCAGGAGGACGGGGGTAGAGGTGGAAGCGCCCCTTTAGAAAATATTCCCCGACACCTGCCGTGGATCTGTTTTAAATAACCATTTGCGCGCAGTTGGACTCCACTAACAGGCTCTGTTCCGCGGCTCCTATGGGGATTCCAGCCCCAACTGAGTCGAGTGAGCGCTGGTGCTGCCTGCCTCCTTAAACCCACAGGCTTCCAGATTTCCTAAAACGGCTTCCAATCGTACTACTTCGGCTTAACAATTAATTAGCCGGTATAGTTATAAATCACGATGTGTGGGGAGACGGGTTCCCATTTCTAGATGCTACCCTGCCGACGACGTGTTGTTACCACTGACGCCCATCTAACGATATTTTCTGGGAAGGAGAGCTTATTGAAACGGACCGGCCTTAACTTCCGCATTAATGAGCTTAGAAAAATAGTAATAAAAGTAATGGCCAGCTTCATAATAAATCACGATACCCTTCAAAACACACCGAGCAGCGGCGTCTTCGCTGCGATCTTCCTATTTAAAAAATAAATAAAAAATGGGAGGGGGGCATAATAAAGACATATCCACAGAGCACCCAACCCCCCTTAAAATCGGAGTTATTCTTTCAAAGTGGAGCTCCTAAATTGTAACATTTTGTGTGATGTGGCTTGAAGGACAAGGGCATTTAATAAGAGCCATCTGGATTTGTGGGGATAATTATTTACAAGGAGCCATTAAGCGAGGAATAGTTTCTGATTAGTAGGGAGAAGGTTGGCTTGGGGTGGTGAGGTAGAAAGGAATGGGATTTCTGGGCACACGAACCACACTATATATATACATTTATCGAGAGTAAAAAGATGGATGGATGTTGGCTGAGACGGGATTACCGCCTCGCTCCTTAAAGATTCTTAATCGCTGGAGCCGCGCCATTGCTTTTCGAGCTGAGTAAACCATTTATTTGCGGAGTGTCCAGGGTGGGGCGAGCGGGGAAGGAAGAAGGGCCCTATGCGGTTTCTGCACATACAAAAGCTAAATACATCCACACACGGGCCGCTTCGGCCAGAGCACGGCCCAAGCCACCGGCATTCGTACAAGAACTGGAAAGCAAACAGCGGCCCATTTTCAGACGCCTGGCCTGAAAGGCAGCCTTTCTGGGAGAGATCCGCTCCTCTTCGCCATTAGGGCTTCTTCTGCCACCGCCGCGCAATTGCAGACACGGCTCCCGGTTAGCCACTTCTGCAACCGGATCTCTTAACGATTTGTCGGCCTGGGGAACGGCCTCGCACTGCAATAAAGCGCTAATGGCTTCTGAGTGTCGTTCTGGTTAACCAGCGCGGGCGAGACTTGCCAAACCCCAACTCGTGTATTTTCTTCGCCCGGCTTCGGGCTTCCTCAGGGTGGGTGTCGATTGCCTTGCGGATCTAAGGCAGACGGAGGAGGAGATATGAAAGGAAAGCTACATCATCGAAGGGAACCTGCCTAGGCTTCAGCGAAGTTTTGCAATGCACTTATACAGTACACATAGCCTTTAAAAAACCCATTTGCTTGGCAGGGAAGTCCCGCCAAGTTCTTGGGAAGCCACTTCCACTGGAATCAGCAGGGCTTCCTAGCAGATCTGTTTAGATGGCGAAGAGAAAGGAACCACCGTCCAATAGTAAAGAAAAGATGTTGGGGTGCCCCGGGGAGTGGGGTTTGGCGATGCGCATTTCCTTCAAACTTTCTCGAGGCTTTTGCAAAATGGAGCCCTGCGGCCTACATGCCTCGCGGAGAAGAAACCCTTCTCTCGATTTCCACAGACTTTCCAGGCAGCGTGGAGAATACC